AGGAAAAGAAAACAAAGAAACAATTCAAAACAAACAAACAAACAAAAGCCCCGGGATCCCACCAGCACGGCAGCCCAGACTGGGAAGCAGCTCCACACTCGAACAGAGGTCTGCAGCCCCCACGAAGAAGCAAGGATGGCGCACGGAGCCAGGTACTCGAGTGAAAGGAGAGGGAGGTGGGGAGAGGCAAGTAAGAAATCAAAAGAAGCAGAAAAAAAAAGCAACACTAGCAGCCAACAAATGGCACTCAGAGAGCCAGCTTGTGCGGGCTGGTGTTTCTGGACAACAGACTGTGTCTGTGGGAAGCAGACGGGGCCGAGTGTGGATGAAGAAGGGTAGAGAGTGGGAAAGTGTATATCACAAATTACCGGAGCTCTGCAGCTGGTCAAGAAGAAGCAAAGATGGCACAAGGAGCAAGGTACTCGAGCGAAAGGAGGGGGAGGTGGCAAGAGGCAAGGAAGAAATCAAAAGAAGCAGAAAAAAGCAACGCCAGCAGCCGACAAATGGCACTCAGAGAGCCGCCTGTTCGGGTGTGTGGAATCGAAGCAGCCGGTGTTTCCCGGTCAAGAGACTGTGGCCGCGGGAAGCAGAGGATGCCGAGGCGGGGTGAAGAAGGGTGGGGGGGTGGGAAAGCGTATATCGCAAATTACCAGTTGTTTTGTCTCCCGCTGGATGCTCCATGAGGCTGCTTTCTCGTACCCCGTTTGCTGGTCTCCAATAGGAGTCCAAGATGGTGGATCCGCGCTGCGTTAGCTGGTAGGGGACCGCTGCATGAATCTCTCCTCGCTCTTCATTCTCTGTCAGTTTTCTCACTCCATTTGGTGCTTGGCTGAGTTCTTTATCTCTTCATTTGATGTTTTAGGGTTTCAGGATTGTTGTATTCTCTGTTCAGCTTAGTTTTTCAGATCTTTGCTGTGGAGGGATGGCGTGGTGCTTCTGCCTACAGCGCCATTTTGCTGGAACTTGGCAAAATTATTTTTAAAGTGACAAATCTCTTAGATCTTTGGCACCTAAGGCAATTCTTGTGAACTTGGACTATGCTGAATCATCATCATCACAATCACAACCACCATCACTACCACCACCACCGTCACCACCATCACAGCATCATCAACATCCCAGTTTCAATAATAGCACAATTGCTAACCTTTATTGAAGTTTCACCATATACCAAGCACTTTGCAAAGTGCTTTATCTCATTTAATTTCTATTCTCATTTTACAAATGAGGAAACTGAGGAACAGAGAGGTTAAGAAGTAGCTTGTCTAAGGTTAACAGCTGGTAAATAGTGGAGTCAGGATTTGAATCCATGTAGTCAGATCAGAACACTTGCTCTTAACCACTCTATGCTGTTCCTCATTTTTATCTTTTCTCTTCCTTCGTGTTCACTCTCCTCATTTTCCTTCCTTTCCCTGCTTATAATTAGGACTTTTAAATAAGGACAACTAATATTAAGTTATTTGCTTTACTTGTGGTTAAAAAGTAAAATTTAATTAACAGTTACATGGTTCCTACATAACTTACTTATTTTTATTTTTTTATTTTTTATTGTACTTCAGGTGAAGGTTTACAGAACAAATAGTTTCTCATTAAACAGTAGAACACATATTGTTTTATGACATTGGTTAACAACCCCACGACATGTCAACCTTCTCCCTTCTTGACCTTTTTTTTTTTTGGTGAAAATATGCATAGCCAAAGATACACCATTTCAAAAATTTCTACATGCACAGTTCAGTGACATCGACTATGCTCGACTATGCTGTTCCAGTTGTGCTGCTATTCTCACTTTAGATGAATGTTTACAGAACAAAATAGTTTCTCATTAAACAGTTAGTACACATGTTGCCCTATGACAATGGTTAACAAACCCATTACACATCAACACTGTGTCCTTACTCAACCTTGGGTTTCCTATCACCAGCTTTCCTGTCCCCTTCTGCCTTCTAGTCCTTGTCCCTGGACTGCTGTGCCTCATTAGTCCCATTTTGTTTTATGGGGCTCTCCAATCCCTGGCTGAACGGTGAACTTTGGAAGTGACTTCACCACTGAGCTAAAAGGGTGTCTGGGGGCATTTTTTTTTTTTCCTGATAAAGTTCAGGAATTTCTAGAGGAAATTTCATAGGAAAGTTTTATAACTTTTCAAAAAGCCACAAAAATCAGGCTCTGTGAAAAGCCTGGTTCTTGTTAGTGGTTGTTGAGTTGGTTCCAACTCACAGTGACCTTATGTATAACGTAACAGCCCTTATGTATAATAGGTCTGAGTGGCAGCTATATGGCTTACCATCAACTGGCAGGGTTTTCTCCAGCTCTGAGCATTCCACCTTTGTCAGCTCAATCCCCATGTTTCCCAGAACTTGTTGAAGGTCACTGCCATCAACCTTTACTCCTTTGAAAAGATGGGAATACAGACATTTGAGCATTTTAAGACCTATCTAATGATTCCAAATAATTAAATATTCATGCCTATAAAGAATCATCGACAATTTGAGAACATGAAAGGGCAGAATGAAATGTGTCCATCCATACAGGATCAATGGAGAACTCATAAAAAAAGTTATTTCTCTAGTTTTAGTGAAAGTCAGATCTCCTAATTCTAAGGAAAAAAGAGACTAAATTTTGGTTGCATAATTGTCCAGTGGTTAGAACAACATAGGTGGCTAGTCTCAACCATTCTGTCGTGAAATGCTTTTTGATCTGAATCATATGATTAAGTGTTCACAATGACAAGGACAACAATTTTATCTGTTTATTGTGTCTATTTAAATTTTGGGTAAACAATTCTCTAAGAAGTAAATTATATTCTTAGAAAAGAAATTTCAGAGTAAAACAACACGCTAGCAAGATACAGCCCTTTGATTTTGTAGTTCAAACCTAAATTATCTAATGTCCAAGTAGAGTAGATACAAACATTCAACAATATTAAGTTAAAATTCTATACTTTTTAAAATCAGTAGTTGAGTAGTTAGAAAATAAAACTTAAAAATAGTGTAGCATAAGACTTGAGGTTATCAGTTTTATGGCAGCTTTTTACTCACCTGAGAAATTTTTCATTCCATCCATCACCTTTTTCAGAGTGACTTTCCCATCAACTATAAAATAGAGCAAAAATTACAGGGATAGATATAAAGAATGATATGAAACACCAAAGGAATTTACCAACTTTCCAAGACTTGCTCTAGAATTTGATTTATAATTTTACTTGATTTTTATCCCTTTTGAGATCATGGAGAATAAAGAATAGTTCTAAATATTAAAATGATAAAACACAATGTAACTTTGACATTCTATCTTCCAAGTTATTGAGTTACATACATGGCAGAAAAAGATGCTCTTTCTATGGAACTGGTTTCCTTGCTTGGGTACCTTGGAATACGCTCTTATATTTAATATGCTAATGGACAGGACCTAAAAGTGGTTCATATCATATACCAGTGTTTCAATCGGATTTTTGAGGTTATCTGCCCATTCATATACTCAATCTGTACATAATTTCTTCCTAGCATTTTCATGGTTACTTAAATTATTTACTACTTTGTATCATATGTTTAAATTACAAATCATTTTTAGAACAATCTATCCGACTGTATTGCTTAGCAAAGGACTCTGCATATTGTAGAAGATGAACAGATTTAATTTAATGCAATGACTATGTACTGGGTAACTACTATGTACTTGCCACTGTTTTAAACATCAATAATATAACAGTGTTAAATGAAATGAAAAAAAAATATAGTATACTCAAAGGTGGTAAGTGCTAGGGAGAAAAATATTAGAAATGGATAGAGAATGCTGTGGGTGGGAGCTGCTGCAATTTAAATAGGGAAGTTATGAAAGGTCTCACTGAAGTGCCATTTGAGTAGACTTAAAGGTGAGGAAGTGAGCCAGGTAGCTATCTGGGAGAAGAGTGTTCCAGGCTGAGTAAGAAAAAGGCTTGAGATGGAAGCATGACTGGTTTGTGTGTCTGGAGGTCAATGTGTCTGGAATGGACTGAACCAGGGGCAAGTTGTAGGAGAAGAAAATCAGAGGGGTTGAGCAGATAACATAAGGCCTACTAGGTCATAGTAAGGACTCTGACTTTTACCCTAAGAAAAATAGGAGATTCTGTTGCATGTTTTGAGTAGAGGAATTTCATGATTTGATTTATATTTTAACAAGGTAACTCTGGATATTATATGGAGGAATATCAAGGGACAAGGGTGGAAGCAGGGCAACAGTTAGAAAGCTACTGAAATAATCCAGAAGCGCTGTCATGGCTTGGACAAGGGAAAGAGTGCTGGAGGTGGTGAGAAGTGACGTATTCTGTATATATTCTAAAGGGAGAGCTCAATGATTAGATATTGGGTATGAGAAAAAGAAAAGAGTCAAGATGATGCCAAGGTTTTTTGCCAAAGCAATGGCATGAATGGAAGCTGACAATTACTCATATGGAAAAGTCTGAGGGAGGACAGCAGGGCTGGTGCAAAGATTAGGCATTTTGTTTTAGACATGTTCAATTTTGTATCCTATTAGACATCCATAAAAGCAGTCAATATATGATTCTGGAATTCAGAATAGAGGTCCAGACCAGAGATAAATTGGGATTTGTCCATATAAAGATAGCATTTAAAGTTATGAAGGTGTATGAGATCACCAAGGAAGTGAGTGAGAAGAGGTCCAAAGACTGACTAATGGAGTATTCCAATAAAGAGCTGTTTGGGAGGTGAGAAAGAATCAGGAAAGGAGACAAAGGTGGAGCAGTAAGTGAGATAGAAGGGAAATAAGAGTGTGGTCCCTAGAGGAGTCTTGGGTGCTGCAAATGGTTAATGTGCTCCTCTGTTAACTGAAAGGTTGGAGGTTCGAGCCCACCCAGAGGTGCCTCAGCAGAAAGGCCTGGCTGGTGATATACATCCAGAAGTGCTGACTGCTAACAGTTTACTGCTCCTTTTTCTCTCTGGGAATTGCCCTTTCCTGTAAAGAGCTGCCTCGCCTAAGATTGATAATTTCCCCTCTTGGAGAGCAGCTTTCATCCAATGACTGGTTGATGTAGGGTACGAAGGCCAAGCCCCCGCAGGATCAGCTGAAGCTTCTGTTGCAATTGCACTGCAGTTCAGCTGCTTCTTCTGTCCAATCCTGCTTCCCTGTTTCCTTACAGGTATTGTCCTAAGAGCATTCCCCAACAAAACTCCTGCGTACAAATCTGCCACAGCATCTGTTTGCTAGGATCAGACAAATAGCAAGCTACAAAGAAAATATGCCAATAAAAATTACATACATGTTCTTCATCAATGTATGTACTGAAAAATGAATAGGGAAGTTAGGAAAGGCCTCATTGTTTCCATCTTTCAAGGGGGATTTAAAGTACCTGAGCATTAGCCTTGAATCATGGAGACTTGCCTAGAAATATGGGAAACCATAAAGTTTCTAGAGTAGAAGACCCATGACATACTTCCTAGGATTCCCACAGTGGTCTCCCTACTGCAGTAGCTTCCACCTATACTGAAGGGAGGGTCTATGCATTGCTCTCTGTCACCTTTTAACTTTCAGTTTCAAGTGGATAGTGGAAATATGACCGTCACTGTTGATTTAATTCTTAGCGGCATTTTATTTTCCATTATTATAATTTATTCCTTCTCTTTCTCATTCCATTCTATTTCCATCTCAGCTCACCGTCCTCTTCATTTTCTGCTTTATTCTTTTTCCCTGTCCTGCCAGTGGTCCTAGAGATTTTCTGGAGCTTAGACTGCATAGCGGAAAAAGTTGCTGTCATGAGTTGATGAAAATGACTAAAGAAAGGATTGAGTCTTACTTTAAGTCTCTTTCTCCCCCTCTGAGCTTTTCTCAATAGTTCTTGATTCTGAATAATCACACTCAGAATTTTTTATATAAAATTCCACAAGTTCCTGTCTTACTGAGGAGCTCAGTAATGTTTTAATGCTTACCATCCACTGTCAAATTCTGTGTCAGATCTTTAAGTTCCTTTTCTGTGAGGCTCATGCCCATGTTTCCTAGAACTGTGTTCAGTTTATTGATATCAACAGTCCCTCCTTGGGAAAGAGACATATATATATATAAGCAAAATTTGAAGACTCCAAAAAGTGAGAAAACTATTAATTTCTATGTATTATCATTTTCAGCACAAGGCCTGAAGCTCAAGGCTCAATAAATCTGGTAAAAATGACAGAATCAGTAATAGACTTAGCAACTGAAAACTCTTCATATAATCTTGGCCTCAAAGAGTAATCTACGTAGCATAAAGTTTAAAGGGGGTAGAATAATTGCATCATCAATTCGATAGTGGAGATGACAAATCCAACTTTTTTTGGCCAAAAATAGTTTGTTTTTGTTAACTGAACCTTTAGATAATTTCTACTAATGACCAAATTCCCCGCATAACTTTGAATCATTCCTTACTGTTTTCTAGTTTTGTTTTACATCACATTTTTCATTTATCTTTTTCCCCTAAGTTCAAAATAATTCCCAAAGAATATGGTCGCTGAGTCAGAATCGGCTCGACAGCAACAGGTTTGGTTTTTTTTTTTTTTTTGGTTTTTATGGGACTTCTACCCAGAGACATGAAAATAAAATAGTAAATTACAGACAGTTCTATGGAAGGAATAAGTATAAAATCTATATGACCAATGACAGTATCAACAATTAAATGACTAGGGAATAGTACAAACGCAAAACTTGAAAAATCTCTCATCCGTCTGCATTTCACTGTGATTCTCACTCACTTTTAAGAGACTTCACACCATCCATCAGCCTATTTTGATAGATCTTTCCATCTGTGATAAGAAATTGCACAAGTTAGGTCACAGATAAATTACGTGGAGATTTTCTAAGATAATAGCTAGAATTTTAAAAAGATATATTTGATTTATATGCACTACAAAATGTGCAATTTAAGACAAAAGATAATACAATAATAGAATTGAGAAGGTTCTTAATGCAGACACACCACCTACTCATGGACAATAGGGGCAGTTACTACTAACTCCCATGCTGAAACATATATATTTTGTTACTACTTCTCTTTTTCATTTATCTATTTCTTCACTTGTAGTACATTCTCCCCTCTTTCTGTTTCTCATATTCACAGGTTAATTTTTGGCCTGTCAGTGGACTAAAAAGTTGTAACATGATTTTTTTTTCCCTGATGGCAGTATTCATGATTGCTGTATTTGTTAATTCATAAACTGAGATAGAACTTCTTCTTAAGGCAGAATAGGGTCATGCTCAATAGTCTGAGATACACGTTCTTTCTTCCATGATCAAATAGAAATAATTTTAAAGCTTTACAGATATATATAATACCAAGTTCCCTTAAAGGCTATAATAACAGTTGAAATTCTCACCATCTATTGGCAGATTTTGCAGGAGCTTCAAGCACTCTTTTTCTGTGAGTTCTATCCCTATGTTTCCCAGAACATTTTTCACATCACTGTCATAAATCTGCCCTCCTTCAAAAAAATAAAATGGAGCCAGATGAGAATTTAAAAAATGATCTAATTCCAAATGTGAAAAAAATTATGGCAACCTGTTACAATTAATTCCATTGCTTGATAGTATGACATGTCTAAATATACAATCAATAGCATTCATGTAAATAGATCCCTTTCCTAAACTCTAATAAAATGACTCATGTCATATTAATGAAGATCAGATAACACAGTTACAACGAAGTGCATTATCAACACACAAGAAAATGAGGGTTATATAATTTCCTAGTGAATTAGGATTTTTATAGATGACTGATCCAAATAATTCTGTTATCAGAGTAGATAGTGTTTCTGATCATCTTTAAATAATAAAAATCATTTATATCTTTACCAAAGCTTTACCATTCATTGTTTTAATCTAGAATTTTGTTTCTCCCTCCAGTATGGAAATGACTGGTGACATATTAATGTCAAATCCAAAAAACAAAGAACTTGTTACCAAGATATAGAACTGAAATTTTATTACTAAAACATAGATAATCTAAAGCCTAACTATAAGAAATTAGATAAATTAGATAAAAATATTTTATCAAGCTAAAGGTAAAATGACAAACAAGGAAATAAAAAACTGTTTAAAATATATTTTTGAGAAAAATTTATACTCTTCGATTTGTGTTAACTTCTCACCCATAAGAGTTTTCAATCCATTCATCAGTTCATCAAGACCAATCTTCCTATTAGCTATAAGAAAAGGTAAAAATAAGAATCATAAAATGACACAGACTCAGACAAATAAAGTATGAAGCCCCTATATTGTGAAAGCCCACTCTTTCCTATTGTGCCCTACGTCAATCTTCAACTTACAAATCCTGGATTTCAGAGATTCTGTAATAGTAAAATGTTCTCTATCCCATAGTTTAAGGGTCGGCAAACCATGGCCAAATCCATAAAAATTGGTTTTACTGGAACTCAGTCAAGCTCATTCATTTATGCATTGCCTGGCTAATTTTGTGCCACAACAGTAGAATTGAGTAGTTATGACACAGTCATATGGTCTGCTATAGACTAAAATATTTGCTATCTGACCCTTTATAGAGACATTGCCAAAAATCTGCCCAGATGATACAGTCTACCCAGAGACACTATACTCTTTCTATTTGTTGAGATCCATGTTACTTTATAAACGGGGGAGAAAACAGTATTGATTCTGGCCATACTCTATGACCTTCCCATCTTAACTATGGTAGAGCCATGAAGCCCACTTATCATTATAAAAATAAAAAAGAAAATAGTAAATGAAAATACTTTTACTAATCTTTCATACATATACATATATATATATATATATATATATATATATACATATATATATATATATATATATGGAACCCTGGTGGCGTACTGGTTAAGAGCTCAGCTACTAACCAAAAGGTTGGCAATTCGAATCCACCAGCAGCTCCTTGGAAACCCCATGGGGCAGTTCCGCTCTGTCCTATAGGGTCACTAGGAGTCAGAACTGACTCGATGGCAATGAGTTTGGTTTTTGGTTTATATATAATTTTTTTTCTTTTTTGTCTTTTCAGTTACTATGATCATCTTGGAATGGTTAGTGACACATGACTGATACATCTTTGAAGCACCTGCTCTTCATGTCACCTCAACATTGGAAAATTTTTCTTTCTTGTTTTCTCACTTTTATTTATTAAGTCATCAAGTATTAGTTACTGTCAGGTGGTCAAGGACTCCCTAAGCAGTGGTGTGGCGGTTTACAGGGTCACAAGGATTACTACCGGAGTTGCTAGGTTAGCTTGCAACACTTGGCTGGTAAGGAGACAGCCCAAATAGATTCAGAGAGTTTATTATTTACACAGACAAAGAAAACAAGATCAGCATGGTGTCATATCCCTGCCTCCCTAGTCCCATAGGATGACACTGAACCAGGGCCAGATGATAGGTGGTACATGTGGTGGGCTGCTCTGTACCTGAGGAGCTCTACCTAAACTATAACCAAGCATTTTAGACTTACCCAGAAGCCTACAGCTGTACCCTAGCAGAGAGAGAGAGGTGTGAAGTCTTGTGTTCACTGAAACTAGGGAGATGAATGAAAAACAACCTTGTGACAGTCTCCTGCAAGGGAGGCAGATGAAAAACTGCTTGGTGGCAGCTCCTCAGAAGGCTGCTTATCTCCTCTGTTCTTGGAGGAATCACAAGGCATTCCTTAAACTCTAAGATCAGACTGCGGTCAAGCTTTGCCTATTGGGCCTATGTTGGGACCTACAAAGCTGCCAGGGATAACTTTGTAAAGTTGTCCATAAAGTATGACAGTATGCTAGGCCTCAAGGGTACAAAGATAATTAAGGCACACTTTCCCCCTTCAAGAAGTTCAGAGTTCAGAAAAATTGACATGCTGAGTAAATATTATAAATATAGTTCAGAGAACGGGTACTGTTATGGAAGATTCTTGAATAAATTTCCCCTTACAAGCTTGAAGTCTTCTAACACTCACTATGTAATAATTATCCTTTCCCATATAGAATGAATTAAGTCAGAAAGCTACAACTATTATTAATTAGTTATAAGTAAAGTACTGTAATGATACATGTGTTCTATTGCAAAAGATAGATTTCAAATTATAATAGGAAAAATATGAAAATTACCTGGGCCTGAAAATTTGCTTGATAAATGTTTATTTTATTTTCATTTAGAATGTTTATTTTATATTGATTGAAAGGGCTCTTTAAAACAGATTTTTAAAATATCACTCATGCATACATAAAAATATGGTAAATGAATTGGCAATTACTATAACTTCATATTTAGAGTCCGATTCTTCTGCATCACTATTTAACTTAGAATCATTGATGTTTTTGTTGGTAAAATATTGTCCTCTGTGCCATCAATTGATCTCGTGATGCAGCACTTCTTAGGAGCGGGCTCTGCTACTGTTTTTTAAAAAATTATTTAACTAATTTTTTAAATTTTATTTTTTAGATTTTTTCAGAAAAATTGAGCAGAAAGTACAGAGTTCCCATATATCCCCCCAACAGTTTTCCCTGTTATTAACATCTTGCACGCCTGTGGTACATTTATTACAATTGATGAACTGTATCAATACATTATTATTAACTAAAGTCCATGGTTTACATGAGGGTTAACTCTTTGCGTAGTACAGTTCTATTGGTTTTGCCAAATGCATGAAATGCCGTGTATCCATCATTACAGTATCATACAGAATAGTTTCAACTGCCCTAAAAATACTCTATGTTCCACCTATTCATCCTCCCCTCCTCTCTCTAGTCCTGAGCCCCTGGAAACCACTGATTTTTTTACTGTCTCAATAGTTTTGCCTTTTACAGCAGTATCTATACATACCTTTAACTGGTAGGCTTTCTGTTAGACTTTGAAGCTCTGGTTCTGTGAGTTTGATCCCCATATTTTCCAGAATGGTATCTATGCTATTGACATTAACGTTTCCTCCTTCGAAAGACACAAGTCAAGAATATGAGAAAAAGTGAATGATTTCAAAACAACAAATATTATTTAAATGACTATATATTATTATTGTATTTAATGAGCATGTACTAATATTAAAATGAAAATGGAAAAGCTCAATGGTTCATATTTTTTGTATTATTATTCTGATTCACAATATGAATGCAAAAATTACAATTTACTTGCCCAAGATAACAGATCAACTTACTAGGAGAATTAGAATTAGAGTTTATTGCCCTAAACCTTGCTGCTGGGTCAAGCTCACACCAGAAATACTTAATGGAATTGAATAACCCAACTTCATGAGTTCATACTTCTGAACATTAAGTAAGGCCTATCTTTGTTTCCTGAACTTTCATATTAATTATTCCTGCTGCTGTTGACCAAATTAAAAGAAAACAAACAAACAAATAAAAACCTTTCAATCCTTTCTTTCTTTTTTTTTTTTTAAATGAAATCCTTATATTTCAAATGACTCTTTTGGAGTAAAATTTGGAAAATTCCAAAAATGACGGGCTTTCTGCAAAGATATATACAAGAAACTAGCTCGTAAATTATAGATATACTAAAAATAAGAACATAAATAAGGAACAAACTATAAAGGGGAAACAGGATTCCCAATTTAAAGATATATATATATTATAAAACCATGGTGCTTTGAGATCGTCTGCCTTCTCATCAACCTTCTCACTCACCTTTGAGAGACTTCACTCCGTCCAACAATCTATTCTGAAATACCATCCCAGTATCTATAATAAAGGCATAATTCATGTCATAGGGACAATATTATCCAAGAAAATAGTACATATATCATGACTACATTTTTTCTTACATTGAGTTTTAAAAAACATTATTTGCCTCTGTTATCTCTCATATCATTCTTAAATGAAAATAAAGTTTAGAACGGAAAACTTTTTCTATGTGATAAGCCTACACAATATCTTGCATCTGAAGCCACTGTTGGTGGTTCTCTTTTATGGAAAAATATGCATAAACATTTTGTAAACTCCTACACTACTGAAACACATGCTCTTTTTCTTTTTCTTTCTTTGACTTTTTCTTCCTAATTAGTTTCTCATACTCTCTTACAAAGATTTTTGCTTAGTCCTTGATAAGGAGAACTTATTAGGTGAATTTACCTTTCTAATAATTTCCAGAGGAAATTAAATAAGAAAGTTTAGAAACCTCTCACTAAATCAGGTTCTCTGGAAAGCCTTAGTGGCATCCATATGGCTCACCATCAACTGGCAGGGTTTTCTTCAGATTTAAGGATTCCTCTTCCGTGAGCTCAATCCCCATGCTTTCTAGAGTGTTTTGGAGATCATCAACATCAATCTTTTCTCCTTTGAAAAGATGGGAATGTTGACTATTAGGAAAACAAAATACTTATTTACACCTGTAGGCATCATGCACAAATTGAACAAAATTCCAGGTTATAATAATGTCTAACTATGGTGGTGCAGTGGTTAAGAGCTCAGCTGCTAACCCAAAGGTTGGCAGTTTGAATCCCCTCGCCGCTCCTTGGAAACTCTATAGGGCAGTTCTACTCTATCCTATAGGGTCACTATGAATCCGAATCGACTCCACGTCAATGGGTTATTTTTTTTTTTGGTATATAACATCAAAGGGGGAACATAAAAAGATACTTTTCCTTATTAGTAAAGGGAAGGTTTTCTAACACTTAATATCTGACAGACTAGCAGAAAAAATTTATTTTCATAATTATTAATGAATTAGGAAAACATAGACAATTCAAAATATTCAACCAGAAAGTTCTATAAGTATTATTCTTTTGATCTAAAATTACATGATTTGCTCTTCACAGTCACAGTAACATTTTGAAACTCCTAAATTCTATCTTGCCATTTACTGTGGCTTTCTAGGTTTTAGATATTTATGTAATGTGGTGAAACACTGGTAAAAGACCGCTAGAGACAATGTAACTGGTTCCAAGATAAAACACAAAGTTTTACTGCTAAAATCTTTATAATCTGATAACAAATGGTAGGGTTATAATAAACAAATATTTCTTCAGAAAGAAGTAAAAAGCCAGAGTTTAAAAGTCAGTGATATAATAATGGAGAAATAACATTTTAAAACCTAACACAGAAAGAGGATTTCAGTTTTATACTAATCTCACCCACCTGTAAAAGCTTTCATTCCATCCACCATCTTTCTCATATCAACTTTCCCATCAACTGCAAGAGAATATGCATATCACACATGGACATGATACTAAGACTCAGAAACTGTGAAACATGCCAAAGGAATTAAACAATCTGTAAGCGCTAGCATTTTTACCTATTTCAACCACTTCATGAGTGTAAACCAGAAGAAAGTCTTAAACATAATAAACATAATTTTTCAACCATGTATCTTTGGTATCCTCTTTTACTAAAAATAATCAAAACCTATAACAGCAAGTGACAGTATAAAATTCAAACTAAATTGCTTTATAGCTCACGAGGGCTCTCTGCAATGGACAAATCTCTTGGACAGTATATATAAGACGTGCAGGCTATATATCTATGCTTTAATATAGACACTAAAAATTGCTCCATATATAATTTATCCACACTCAGTACTTCTTCTGACAAGGACACAAATTTCTTTTATTTGCTTTACACATGTAAATTATAAATCATTTTGAGGATATCTTTGCCATAGTGGTGGGCATTGCCATTATGCAGGGTAGAAAATATTACATGTTCCCCTGGATTCATTATCAGCCCAGAACTAAAACAATTTCCGAGGCCAACTCTTCAGCCAAAGATTGGACTGGACTGTGGGACATAAAATGATAATTGTGAAGAGTGTGCTTCTTAGCTCAAGTAGATACATGAGACTAAACGGGCAGCTTCTGTCCGGAGGTGAGATGAGAAGGCAGAGAGGGTTAGGAGCTGGTTGAATGGACTTGGGAAATCAGGGGTGGAAAGGAGGAGTGTGCTGTCACAGTATGGGGAGAGCAATTAGGGTTACATAACAATGTATGTATAAATTTTTGTATAAGAGACTAACTTGAAATGTAAACTTTCACTTAAACTACAATAAACAAAAAACAAACAAAAAATTTTAAAAATTACATGTTTATCACATAAGATTTTTATTTTATTTTAAATCTCACTTATTTTTGGAATAGATAATATACAAAGTTCAAAAATCAAATGTTACGAAGTGGCATACTCCTTTATACCCTGTTCCAGTGACCCTGTTCTTTTTAAAGTCGACCAATGTTACTTGTTTCTCCTGCATTATCTTGTGTGTGTGTGTGTGTGTGTGTGTGTGCGTGTAAGTCACCAAGCTAGAGACTTTCAATGCATTATCACATTTAATAATTTTAAATGTTTGTTATGATGACATTTTCCAAACATATGGAAAACCATAACAAATAATGTAATTGACGTTTGTGTACCAAACACCCAGGGTTCACATAAATTAACATTTTGCCATATTTCATTAGATATTTTTAAGGAAACAAAAGGTGAAAAAACAGTTGGTTGTCTCTTGGTGTCCCTTCCTAATCTTACTCCCCTCTCTTCCTCCTTCCCTCCTATCTTCCCTTCCCTCCCCCAGAGATAACTATTTTCCTGGGGTTGGAGTGTGTAATTCCCACGTTATGTACACTTTAACTTTAACCACATGTATCACATGTGATTCTGCACTCTCTTGCATGCACCTTGAGTTATTTTTCACATAGTATTTTTTTAAACAAGATATCAATATAGAAACAACTTTCAGACTTAAAATTAACTCACAATCCATCCCATTTTCCTGAATTTAAGTTTTTTATGTTTTAGGGCAAAAAAATAGCTAAGAAATGTTCACTTTGTTATCAGATTTCTAAAACTATGCCTGTTTTTCCCAATAGTATATACGATATTTTAAAAATATTCTTGCTTTTTTAGTCTGGGTTCTTCTCTAAGATTCCCTAAATGTATTTTTGTTGCCAAATAAACTTGTAGAAGTTCTTAAACAAAAACCCAATTTTTCGGGGCTCAATAATAATTTTAATTTTAAACACTCACCATCCACTGGTAGATTCTTTGCCATATCTTTAAGCTCCATTTCTGAAATTTTCATCCCCATGTTTCTCAGTACTGTGTCCAGTTTTCTGATATCAACTTTCCCTCCTTAGGGGAAAAAAGTATATGAACAAAAATTAATAATTCAAAATGTGCCAGATAAGATTATTTTTTGGATATTATAGTTTTTTTCAGTATAAGAATCAAGGCCTATTGAGTTCAAATCAAGTGTACAAAGAGGGTCAACCTAGAGGGAAGGTGAAACCACTTCTGTTGAAATTATTTTTGGGGACTAGCCTTTATAGAAAAGTTTTAATATTCTGAATATCTGATCTGGGAATTACAACAGTAAAATCTATAATGCTTCTGACTAGTAAATTGAGTGTTTTTCTTAACTAATCATTCAAATTAATTTGTCTCATTTCTGAATTGATTTTCAGAGAGATTATCTGCTAAAATGTAGGCAGATCTATCGATGAGGTAAAAATATGGTATCAACACATACGAAGGATAGAAAAATTGACAATTCAATGAATAAAAGATGTTGTAAATGGAAAACACGTTGATATTATACTCAGTTGTCTTTCCTATGCTTTTCACTCACCTTTAAGAGACTTCACACCATCCATCAACCTATTCTGATAGAAATTTTCGTCAACTGTAAAAAGAAAAACCGTAATTCAGGTCAAAGAGATATGATTAACAGCGTCACTAAGGTAGTACAAAAGCCATCATTTTAGAAAGACAGACTTTAGATTTTCTAATTTATTGTAAAATAAGAACAAAAATATGGTCCCTAATGTGGCCAGTCTTCCCAATGTTTGGCATTCAAGGCAATGAACTATTATGTTAGCTCTCTTCCATGCTGAAACATCATTTCTATTTTCATTTCTCTTTTCTTCCTTTAGTACACTCCCATCCTTTTCTTTTTCTCTCATTCTCATTTCCCATAATTAACTCTCTTAGTAGAATCAGTGATAAAAATGGGCTTTTGAGTTTGGAGGGCAGCATTTTATTTATTTATTTATTTATTTATTTATTGTACTTCAGGTGAAGGCTTACAGAACAAATAGTTTCTCATGAAACAGAAGTACACATGTTGTTTTATAACATCGGTTAACAACCCCAGAACATATCAACCCTCTAACCAACCTCTTTTTTTTTTTTTTGGTGAAAATACACATAGCCAAAGATACACCATTTCAAAAATTTCTACATGCACAGTTCAGTGACATTGACTACGCTCTTCCAATTGTGCTTATTCTCACTTAAGATGAAGGCTTACAGAACAAAATAGTTTCTTATTTAACTGTTACTACAAATGTTGCCCTATGACAATGGTTAACAATCTCACAACTCATCAACAATATCCTTACTCAACCTTGGGTTCCCTATCACCAGCTTCCTTGTCCCCTTCTGCTTTCTGGCCCTTGTCACTGGACTCCTGTACCTCGTTAGTCTCATTTGGTTTTATGGGGTTGTCCACTCCCAGGCTGCAGTGAACCTCGGAGGTAACTTCACCACTGAGCTAAAAGGGTGTCTGGGGGCCACACTCTCGGGGCTTCTTCAGTCTCCTTTAGGCCAGTAAATCTGGTCTTTTTCTGCGGGTTAGAATTATGCTCTACATCCTTCTCCAGCTCTGTCCAGAATCCGAGGGCAGCATTTTTGATTAAATAGGCAGTTGATTCCCATGTTAAAAAATAATTGATATTCAGGTACATTGAAGGCTTAATTGTGCAAGGAAAACTTTAAAACTTTTGGAAGAAAATATGAGAGAATGTCTTTATGACCTCAGAGTAGAGACACAAAAAAAAATGAAAAGAAATTTGCATATATGTTAAGTACATTTCTTCATTATAAAGAAAGTGCAGTCATGCAATAAATTGGTAAAATATATTTAAACACATATAACCAACAAAAAATTAGTATCTAGAATAGGGGTCAGGTCACTGTGATGATCAGGGAGACACTGACCTGCTGCTTACATTTGTGACCTGCTGCCTACATTTGTAAATAAAGTTGTACTGGAACACAGCTGTGATGGTTAAGGTTGTGTGTCAACTTGGCTGGACCATGATTCTCAGCAGTTTGACAGTTATGATGTAGTTTGGCAGTCATATAATGATATAATAACCTCCATGATGAGATCTGATATAATGTGATCACCTCCATGATGGGATTTGCTGTGAGTAGCCAATCAATTGAAAGGGAGTTTCCTTAGGGGTGCGGCCTGCATCCAATATAGGTGGACTTTCTGGTAAAGATCTCTGGCTTTTGCTCGCTCTGGATCCTGCAGCTGGCTCCTATTTGTCTGACCTCCGGTTCTTGGGATACGAGCTAGCAGTTTACCTGCTGATCTTGGGATATGTCAGTCTCCATCGTCTGGATCTTGGGTTCGCCAGCCCCTGCAGCTACGTGAGTCAGGAGAAGCCTCCATTCTGACCTATGGATTTGGGACTTTACAGCCTTTACAATCATGTGGGCCATTTCCTTGATATCTATCTTTCTCACTCTCTTTCTCTCTCTATAGATGCTTACTGGTTTTGCTTCTCTGGAGAATCAAGCCTAAGACAACAGTCAGAATTATTTGTTTACATATTAACTATGGTTGCTTTCACCCTACAAAGGAAGAATTGAGCAGCTGTCAGACACCATGTTGATATTGTTATCAGTTGCCCTCAAGTCCTTTCTGACTGACAGTGATCCCATGTGTGCAGAGTAGAACTGCTTCACAGTGTTTTCAATGGCTGTGACCCTTCAGAATCAGATCACCAGGACTGTCTCCTGTAGTGCTGCTGGGTGAGTTTGAACAACCAACCTTTCGGCTAGTAGTCAAGCAGTTAACCATTTGCTCTACCCATGGACTCAGTCAAAGACTATAAAGCCTAAGATATTTAGCATCTAGTCTTTTATAGAAAAACTTTGCCCACATATTGACTGAAGGAGAACTGGTTAAGTGTCGAGCTGCTAACCAAAAGGTTGGCAGTTTGAACCCACCAGCCACTCCACAGGAGAAAGACATGGCAGTCTGCTTCCATAAAGATTTACAGCCTTGGAAACCCCATGGGGCAGTTCTACTCTGTCCTGTAGAGTCACTATGAGTCGAGATTCAACTTGACGGCAATGGGTTTGGTTTTTGGTTTACCTCTTGATTGAGGATATAAAGAACTCTTACAAATCTGTAAGAAAAATACAAATAATTCAGTGGAGAATTGGGCAAAAAGGCGTAAATGAATACTGCAAAAAAGAGGAAACACAAATGGTCAATAAACATGTGAAAAGATTAGTGATACAAGATTAGTAACATTCCACTTTTACCAGATTGGCAAACATTTGACAATACCAAGTTTTGGTAAGGAAGTGAAGCAAGAAGAATTCTACTGCAGCCGTCAATAGTGCTGTTTGCCAAGTTTCTAGGTTTTATCTTTTTCCAGGCTCATGGTAGGATTGTAATGCCTGGCCTTCTTGTGGCTAGGTGTGACCCTATAACCTATTGTGGCTAATAAGTTGTGTGTGAAAATTTCTGGTTTGGAGTATTTAAATGCCAATATTAGACTCTATAGAAATCTTTCATATTTGAGATGGATGCTATGATGGGCAGAATCCTCCTGCTGACCTGCAATGGATATGCACTGTGAGCAAGAAATGAACTTTTGTTGTTTTACGCCACAGAGATTTTGGAATTGTTTGCTACCACAACATAAAGTGTCTATCCTGACTGAGATATATTGCTGGTGGGAATGTAAATTGGTTCAAACACTTAGGAAAACAATTTAAATTATCTAATAAAACTTAAATTGTACATAATCTATAGCTCAGTAATCCCATTCTTGAGTATTCTGTGTATATATCCTAGAGAAGGGATTGGCAAACTTTTTCTGTCAAGGATCATATAGTAAATATTTTAGGCTTTGTGGGCCATAAGGCTACTGACAAAACTACTCAACTGTGCCTTCAGAGAGGGAAAGAAGCCACAGAAAATACCTAAATTAATAGATATGTCTGTGTTTCAATAAACTTTATTATAAAAACAAGCAGTAAGCTGGATTTGGCTCATGGGCTGCATTTGCCAACATCTGCCCTAGAGAAACTCTTATCCATGTATGCATAAGGAGACATGCTCATGAATATTCACAGTGTTCATCAGGAGAATGGATAAATTATGAAAATTCTTCCAATGAAATACTATGTGGCAATGAAAACTAAACATCAACACGGATGAATATCACTAGAAATAATGAGTCAAAAAACGCAAGTCATAAGTACTCACGGTATGCACAGTTCTATTCATGTAAAGTTCAGAAACATGCAAAACTAAAAATATAGAGGTGGGATGAAGATGGCAGAGTAGTCAGATGCTTCTAGTGCACCCTCTTACAACAAAGACCCGAAAAAACAAGTAAATCAATTATATATGACTATCTAGGAGCCCTGAACATCTGAGGCAAAGTTGAGGAACCAGACTGAGTGGCAGGGGGAGGGAGAAATGTTTCAGAAGCAGTAAGGAGTTGCCAGACCTGACCCAGTGAGAGCCTGAGCCCTTCAGGCCTGAGCAGCTCATGGGTCAGCGGTGAGGCAGGCAAGCAGTGGTGCTCGAGAGAAGTGTTTTCTGCACTGGGAGAGACCCAGCACCAGAGAGTCTACATGGCCACCAAGAACCAGTGAGAAGCAGCCCTCGACTGGCAAAAGATAAGTACTTGTGTACGTCCTACTGCGCGGATCAAAAACACCTCCCTTAGGGAAAAACCTCTCTCCCATTTACCTCCCCACTCCCTGCTTTGCACTGGGTCCTGGACTGGTTTAAGCAATTACCGAGTCCCCTGGGCTGGAGGTAGGATCTGTCACAAGCCCTGAGCCATTCTCCTGGCCTTCGAGAGTGAACAAATGAACAAACAGGGGAAAAAATAAGCTACCAACTCCCCTAAGCCAGGAACCCAGGGTAGGCACAGCTCCTTTGCCTAGGCACAGGCATAAGGGATCCACAGACTCTGAGTGCCTTGCCCCCTGCATAGATTTGTGTGGACTCATTTCAACAATGTAGGCCCTCATTACCACAGTACAATAGGGTATATACCTGAAGTCTAACTTCAACTGTTTCAGCTGTGAAGTGGCAGGTTCTTGACATTTGACACTGCTCTGCCCATTAAGCAGGTCTTCACCTACCCACATCAGGGGCCTGAGGACTGGTGGCTCCACCTATGCCACCTAGTCACCTGCGATAGGGGCCCATGAATAAAAGGTGCCCCCCGTCCTTACAGCCAACAGCACTGGGTGCTCATAGTCCAGCTGCAAAACCCACCTACCTATGCGCTCTGGGGAACAGGGACACGTCTTCCTCCTGGACACTTGGGGGCAGCTGTCAGCCCCTGCCTTGCTCAGAGTGTGTCCCCCTGCTGCAGTCAGATGCCTGTGCCTACACCAATCACCCATGCCTGTCTAGGACTGTAGGTGAAAGCTTATGCTACACACTAAGTGGCTATCTACCTAGGTACCTGAGCTGAATCCATACAGGAGGAGTGGGAAGACCCCTGAGCTCACATACCTACTAACAGATCTAACCACCTGATGACAGGACATTAGAGCTTCAAAGGTGCCAATAATCAAACTAGCTCATATAAGCAGCCCATTTGGGCATATCAAAACAAAACAAGAAGCTAG